GTAGTTGGGCTGTAGCATTCCACCCCCAGAGGAGCTGTGCCTGGACTTGCAGAGTGTGCCTCTGGGCTCTGAGGGCCACAGGTGGAAAAGTGGCTTCTGTCCTGGGCTGGGTGAGCCACCAGGTGACATAGACGGGCTTCTCCTTTCACTAGAACAGGTGAAAATGTCACAAGGACAGGTCACACATACTGAGCTGTGGCATCCAAATCTCACCTCTGAATACCTTCCCTCCCTGTAGCTCCGTTTAACCTTGGTGAGGTTGGAGTAACTGCTCTCCCAGCAGTCTCACTCTACGCATGCGTGACTTCAGCTGCTTAGTGGATCTTCCTCAACAGCACAATACAAACATTTTGCAAAGCCTAGTAGAGATTTCTTTGTTACTGCTGTTACTCTGCTGCTGGTGGATCACTCAAGATCTTTTTCAGATGGTAGATATCACAGTGGAATTTGATCTGCTGGTCCTAAGCAGAGATATCAGAGGGATTTTCCTTGGGTGAGTCCTGTTATGACATGACAAATACAGGAGGAAATAAGTCATAGTTTGCCAAGCCCTCCCCCAGCTGCTGAGGTACTTTGGTCAAAGATTTGTTTGCCTGAAGACATGGCTAGACAAAGCTGTATGGCAAAAGCCAAGTGCTGCACCATGCTGAGAGCAATTCAGCTTTGGGGAAAAATGTGTACTGTCTTGTCAAGGAGTTATTCTTGCATGTTGGTTGTGTGTAATTAGGGAAAATGAAAGACACAGGTGCTCAAATCTGTGTATGGTATCTGATGTTAGTCACTGAGCACAGCTGACCCAGTGGGCCAAGGCTTTTGTGTTCACAGAAGGCTCAGTGGGTGTCCCTTTGTGGACTTTCTCCTGGTGGCAGACGTGGAGGGTTCACTGTCACTTCAGTCTGGATGACACTGATGCGATTCTTCATGGGCAGTGGTGTCTGGCAGGTGAGAGTTTCTGCTTGCTTGGTTGGAGCCTGTCCCCTGATGTGTGTGCAGTGGGAGTGCTTGAGCTTTTGTTTGGGAGTGGAAGTGTATGCCTAGGTTCATTCATGAAAGTCTGGGCTTGGTTTTCCCCTGGGATGACATCTGTGTTGGCTGTCCTCCATTGCTCACTCTCTGTGGTCTTTTGGTGGTCATGGGTGGAGGATTAGGCTGAAAATGGTAATTGAAGTAAACAGGGTTTCTGCTTGCCATGTGTAGCACTTCTCTTGAAAGGATTTGTGTCCGTTCGTTAATGCTTTAAGCCCAGTAATCATTCTTGATACTCAGTCCATACTTTTTCATAATCTCTATGCTGTTAAAATTAGTTGAGGCAATCTTTGGTTGCTCAGAAAATGAGGTAAAGCCATGTCTGTTGCTGGTATGTGCAGAGTGAAGTTCTCTCAGCTTTCGCATAAACACGGCTTTCCTTCTTCATGCTGAACTAAACTTGGCCAAAACTGCCTGGCCACTGGTAACAGTGTGAGGAGCCAGAAGTTCCAGTGTTGTGTTCAAGCAGGGAAGCCTTCCTAGCTCAGTGAGGGAGCAGTGATTCCTTCAGTGATGCAAGGCAGCCTGCAGCTCTGCAGGGAGCCTCACCTGGAATGCTGGCATTAGGCTGAGCTCTTCCCAACCCCTCACCTCCAGCCTGCTGGAGCTACCGCCTGCAGCTCCTCAAACCCACTCTTGTAATTGCATTTGGTTCTCTCAAATGTTTGGTATCCAGCAGTGTGTTCTCCTATTTCATGTTTGCAGAGCTGACCCCAAGGCAGCACCAGAACAAGTCCAGCAGAACTGGGCTTTCTTAGGCATTGTGCTTAGGTTTCATACATAGTGCCTGGATCCTTGACAGCCCACAGGAATAAGCTATTCTCAGAGGGTTGCATCTATTCTAAACTGATCAAATTGCTATCTAGCTTGTTTACCATGTTGGGTTTGTTGTTGGATTTGTTTTTTTTCCAACTCTTAATAATGTAGACAGATTGTTTACTTGCTGTGAGCCATGTGAATTTGCCCTGTATCATTAATTCTTTTATAATACACTCTTTTTGTTATCTCCATTTATTGAAAGTCCTTTCTGCCAGATTAAACCTCTTGAAGTGCACAGAAATCAGTGTGATGTTATTGAAACAAGGGTCAAGGTAGTCATAGGTAAGACTAGGGAGTGGTCCCTTTGCTGAGTTGTGTTTTCTCTTGACAATGATGTTGTGGATGGTTTGGGTGATTACACAGAATCATAGAATTGTTTGGGTTGGAAGCGACCTTTAAGATCTAGTTCCAACCCCCTGCTATGGGCAGGGACACCTCCCTCAAGACCAGGTTGCTCACAGCCCCATCCAGCCTGGCCTGGAATGCTTCTGGTAGGGGGGGGCATCCACAGCCTCTCTGGGCAGTCTGTTCCGGTGTCTCACCCCCCTCACAGTAAATAATTGCTTCCTAATATCTAGTCTAAATCAATCCTTTTCCAGTTTAAAGCCATTTCCCCTTGTCCTGCAGGCGCCCCTTCAGGTACTAGAAAGCTGCTGTAAGGTCCCCCCAGAGCCTTCTATTCTCCAGGCTGAAGAGCACCAGCTCTCTCAGCCTGTCTTCATAGGGGAGGTGCTCCAACCCTCTGATCATCTTTGTGGCCCTCCCATGGATGTGCTTTAACAGCTCCGTGTCCTTTCTGTGTTGGTGGCCCCAGAACTTGATACGGTACTCCAGGTGGGCTCTCACAAGAGTGAGAGTAGAGGGGCAGAATCACCTCCCTCAACCCACTGGTCACAATTCCCCTTGATGCAACCCAGGATACAGTTGGCCTTCTGGGCTGTAGGAGCACATTGCTGGCTCACGTTGAATCTTTCATCAACTAACACACCCCAACTCCTCCTCAGGACTACTCTCAAGCTATTCTCCATGCAGCCTATATTTGTACTTGGGATTGCTCCAACCCAGGTGCAGGACCTTGCACTTGGCCTCGTTGGACTCCATGAGGTTGGCATGGGCCCACCACTCAAGCCTTTCCAGATCCATCTGGATAGCATTCCTTCCCTCTTGTGTGTCAGCTGCACCACTTAATGATAACAGTTGGCTCCAGCAAAGTAGAGGAGAGGCACCTGCTTTGTTTGTTGTCCATGAAATAATGGCAAATAGTAAGGCTGAGGTGTCCACTATTAGAAATTTACTATCAAAAGCGCTAGCAGATTAGATCTGTGCTGAGAGGCTTGTCTGCAGCTGCAGACATGGAAACCTGGTTTCAGCCTTGGGTCTGTGAAAGCAGATGTAGAGGCAGCAAGTGCTGTCAAGTTTGTATGGCTGGAATCTTGGCCTGTTCTCACATGGTTTGAAGATGGTATTCATAATGCCCATAGTTGCAGACTTGCTCTGTGTCATTGCTTTTACTGCTTATATTGAGCACTGAAGCAGCAAAACCTATTTTGATTTCAGAGAAAAAAAAGTACTGCTTAGGCACAAGTAAGAAAGAGAAAATACTGTTTTGTTTTCATCTGTTCATTTGCTCTCAAAGTGAATGCTGCACCGGTGTAAAAGCCTCTGTGGAGATGAAGCGAGTAGTTCAGATGAAGTTGTGTTGTAACTCTGATGGTAGTTTAGGGGAAGATGACAAATAGAGGAGTAAGAAAGATTCATTTCTCTAGCGGGACTGCAGGCTTGGATTCTGAAGATGTTCAGTAATTTGGTATTTTGCAATAATGAGGCGGGGTTTGGCAGCTGTGCAGGGCATTCCGTGCACTTAGTAAGAGTTGTGCTAAGGAGCTGGTGGGAGAGTTGTTCGACCGATGTTCATTTTGCCTCAGTTCCCTCATCAGCGAAGTAAAGGTGTGTTCCCCATGTTGTGCAGGAAAGCAGCGTTTGAGTCCAGATGGGAGCCTAAGGTTTCTGGCTCCCGGTGTGTTCAGATCACGCCTTTCTTTTTATAGCTATGGGAGAAAAGTCAGCTCCAGCATGTCATTTAGTAAAACACTATATAGGAAAAGCAACGCTAAGCCCCACAGAGCTAAAACTAGCCGGTTTTAAATTAGGAGACAGAAAAATGCTTTGCACATTCTTTCTGGGAAATGTCAGCTTTCAGTTCCACATCGGCTGCGGTCATCCTGGCAAACCAACGTGCTGTCCGGGTGTGCACAGATGTCCCAAGGGCTGCATGTGTGCAGGGAGCTCCTCTCCTCTGTATGGCCCCGCGTGTGTCTGTGTTCAGATGGACCCCAAAAGCTTCAGGGCTCTGCTTCTCCCTTTCTAAGCGATGTCTTACATCGTTAAAGCTGAGAGCTGCAACTCTTTCAGACTATATATGGCGTTGGTGCTCGTGGTAGAATGTATTTATAACGCTGTTCGCTGCAGTGATGTGGATTGGGAACAAATGTTTGTTTGGATAAAATCCAACTCCAGGGATTGGTTTTACTGCTGAGCGTAAAATCCGTAGCAAGATCATAAAAGCACCAGTTGAAAATCTAATAGGGCCTTCCCCGTGGAAAAACCATGGCTGTGGTGTGACGTTAAGGAGCTGGCGTGACTCGTGATGGCTCACATAGCAGTCAGTGCCCCAGGGCGGACGCAGGCTGGGATGTGGGGATGCTCCTGTCTTTGTGGCACACATTGGGACTGCTGGTGTTACCTGTTACATGCACTGCTGCTTTTATTTGTGTTCTTTGTTTAGAAATACCCATTTGTGCCCTAAGCAATGTTTCAAAAACTCCAGCTGTATTCTTAACGGTATTGCATAGCACTGACATGAGCAAATCAAGCTGTTTTACATACCCCTAATAAATATTTGAGTGAAAACAATTGGCAAAAGAATGACACAAGTGTCTTTGGGTGTGTTGGTGTAACCATCTCCGTTCAGTTCAAGTTTTCCCCCTGACTCACTCAACTTGCTCAGCCTTTCTTTTGCCATTCAGATGGTTAATGTGCATTGAGCCCTGTGGAGTGATTGTCACCCAAACTGGGAAGGCTCAGATCCCACATTGTAAGAGAAGTGTTCTTTATTTTGTTTTCTAAAACTACTCTCTCTGCTGTTGTTGTTGAAGGATGATCAGAAGGAGACCGAACCTCATGTTTATCTCAGTAAAGAAGAAGTTAAAGAGAAGATACAAAGCTATAACTCATCTGTTACTGATAAATTGAAGATGACCTTGGTAAGTTTTGCATAGGGTTTCTGTAACTTGCAATAGGAACAATTGCATGGTAACTTCGTAGTGAATAATGAATCATTTTATCCTTAGCATCTTGCATGCAAGACCATCTCTGGTTTAATGACTTTGTAAAAGGCTTTTTCTTAGATCTGCAAATAAATCTTAGATTTGGAGTATTTTTATTTGTGTCACTTCTTTATGTGAATGGAAACAAACTATAGAAGAAAAAAATTTAAGATAAATTCTGCTTTAACACCAAAATGTCAGTTTGTCAGGTGAAAACCCTTCAGCTGGTAAACATGAACATATTCATTCTGTTTGGGTTTTTCAAGCATCTCTTTAACAGACACACGAACAACTGAGAGAAGTAAAAACATGCAACGTTTCTTATAGGAGACTTAATGCTCAGAGCAGTCCTAGAGGTTTTCAGCACAAGGACACTTCTTCCTGCTGCCCTCTCCATGCGCGTTATATGGACAATTGAATGCAGATAGTTTTCTAATTTTCAAGTACCAGGTCTAATGCTCAGTCTGACCTTCTCCAGACCATAATAATAACACTCACATTCACAAGTTCTCTAGCTCAGTAATGTGTGAACAATTCTGCTGGTTTTCTTCAGAAGCAATCAGAAAAAATAATTGGAAATGCTCATTAGATTAACATTTATTCTGTTTATTTTTGAATTGCAACAAGATTTGAGCATTTAAATGCCATAAAATAATTTGACAAGTGCAGCTGAAAAGTAGGGAGTTAATTTCTTTATTTATTCCTCAGATATGTAGTTAGAAATGCATGCTAACGGACTTTTACACTTCATAGTCAAGATCTAATAGATGTAGAGCTTAGCTGTTATTGTTAAGGCAGGTATTGATTTTATTCCTGCTGGTATTTCTGCTGAGTAATACGAATTATTGAAAGGAAATCTTTCCTAGGAAATGATGTGTATTACGATGGCATTTGTGATCTCTCACTCTTCAGACTTCCTTCTCCACTAATATGTCACAACTGTTCACCGCTCATTTTAAGTGTTTGCTGTTTCTCTTCCTGTTGCAGAACTCAAATGGGATTTACACTGGCTTCATCAAAGTTCAGATGGAACTATGCAGACCGATCACTGTGCAGTCTTCTCCCAGCCAGGGAACGTGTGCTCACAGCAATAACGAAACTGCTTTTTACCTGCCCAACGACTGTGTGAATACACTTCACATCAGCAGCACCAATACTGTCCGTGAAGTTATTGAGGCCTTGCTCAAAAAGTTTTTTGTTGCTGACAACCCTGCAAAGTTTGCACTTTACAAACGCTGTCACAAGGAAGACCAAGGTTAGACTAAGGATATTTGGGTGACAAAGTGATCTGTGGGGATCTGTGCTGTAGGAGCCCTTGAAATAAACAGGGTGGGAGAAAGAAAGACAGAGGGAGATGGCAGTCTTAGTCACTCTTATCTTTTTTTCTTTGGAAAAGCAGCATATGCAGTAAGAGAGTAAGTGCAATGGGAATATTTCACAAAAGTCAGGAGAACCCACTAAAGCATCTGCATGGATCTCCCCTGCTGTGCAATCTGGTCATTTAAAGTGCTCCTTTATCAGGCTCTAAATTTCAACACTACAGATCTGTGAGATTGAATTACAGGACGGTGTTTTAAAGAGAAACCACCATGTCAGCAATACCTGCAGTCCCTGCTCCGACAGACAGCTGTTGAGGTGATGAGCATTGTGGGCATGCACATTCTATTTGCATGTGGTATTTGGAGCACGCGATGCTCTCTGAACCATCTGATGAAAAAGTTAGGTGTATATCATGTTTGGAAATGCCAGAAGATGCAGAAGGTATCTTCAGTGAAAAACACTTTTTGCCAGCATTGTGTTAGTGCATTTAAGAATCTGCCTTCTGTAGGCAGATATTGACAGTGGTTTCAGGAGCTTAGATGTTTCTGGCTGTCTGGAAAAAAGGAGTTTCAGAGTGATGATACTACAGCTGTGATGTTTTAAATACTTATTTATAGCTCCAGGGCTGTGTTGTATTTCCTCCTCCCACCCCCACATATATTCAGATCCTGTGTTGACTAGAAGCCGCTTCATTCATGTTTGAGTTTAGCCTTGTACTGCTGCCATCCCTAGAGCTCTTTTGTTCAAAAAGAGCTTGGAGAATGTGTAAATTTGTGGCTACAGGTGCAGATCTCTGAAAATCTCTAATGTTGGCCAGCACTAATCATTCAAAACATGTCAAACATCGTTATTAAAGATGGTTAATTTCTGTCACTTCTCCTGCAGTTTATATATGCAAGCTGTCTGACAGAGAACATCCCCTCTACCTGCGTTTGGTGGCAGGCCCCAGGACAGAAATGCTCAGTTTTGTTCTACGTGAGCATGAGACTGGAGAGGTCATGGTATGTTACACTCAGCTTTCTGGTCCTTTAATGTCATCGATGAGTGCGATCCTGTTTGATCTGTGCTAATGGGATGGTCTGTTTTTTTGGGAAGCTTTCTTTTTTTCTTCTCATTGATAGTTATTTTGTGCTTTTTGTGAGGGTTTAGTCTGTGGTTAGGCTGGCCTGCTGTTTTAGGGCTTTCAGAAAAGAAAACAGCATAAAAGAGTTAAACATTTTCAGATAGGGAAGATTTGCAAGTTGGGTGCCTGATGCTCTGTATATATACATGCTTTGTGCATTTCCTGTTATTTCATCTGTCATTTTCTCCTTCTGTCTTTACAGTGGGAAGCTTTCAGCCTTCCTGAACTGCAAAACTTCTTGCGTATACTGGACAAAGAAGAAAACGAGCAACTGCAAATCCTAAAGAAGCGTTACGCAGCTTACAGGGACAAACTTGAAGAAGCCCTTGGTGGGGTGTGGAAACCTGGTTAAAAGGGGGCCAAAGCACACTCAGGAAAAATGCACACAACCAAATGTCAGTATAGCATGCCAAACCCAAAGTACAAAAGAGCAGCAAAGAGTAGTTTTCTTTATTCAGAAGACTGTTTTGTGATGCTAGGGTACCTGAATTTTGCTATAGACTTAGTCCATAAGCCAGGTCACTTAGCATCTCGCACCCACAAGTGTAAGGGATTCTGCATGTTTGTACATCAGTTTGCAACCCTCTGTGTGCCTAGAGAGTTTTCCAAGTAATCTTGGTGCAAGCTGTGAAACTGTAATCAATTTACTAGGATGCTATGAAATAAGATTATTTTTTTTTCTTCTTTGCTTTAATGGTAGCTTTACAAGTAAGGAGGTGCAAATTGATTGGTTTAAAAAATGAATAAATCTATCTGGAAAATAATCAGTTGGAGCACTATCTTTGAGATGAAATTGATTTGCACTACCTTTCTGTTTTCAAATAGTTACTGTATAATTTGTGAGAGAACTGTTATAGATGGAAGGTGTATGAGACCTTATGTTTTGTTCTGTGAAATTTGTGGAAGGCTTTCAGTTAGTCTTCCCAGAGAAGGTAAGGAGAAAGTTGAAGAGAGGGTTAGAGTTAGGGCAGGAAAAGTGTAATAGTTGATGGAGAAGGACTGGTTTTAAATAGAAATAGTATTTATACAGAGGAAAGTTAAAATACTAATTCTACAAGAGTAAAGTTTTAGGATGTTGTAACATTGTGACTAAGTTTTAGGGCTTTTTAATTTCATAAATCCACACTGGAAAAGAAATAAAGATAGAAAAATTGGGAAGGAAAAAGAGGCAAAAGCTGAATAAGAATGGAAGTGGAGCTGTACAGAGGTCACAGTTGGAGAAACTAGTTCCATAAATGTTTAATGGGGGGTTGGAAAGTGCAGCAAAGCTAACCAAGTGGCTGCTTACTTGAATTCTGAAATGTGGATGTTATCTAAGATAAAACTTTGTGAGAAATACCCATCCTAGTGAGTGTTTAGGATCCAAGCTATAACTACAGATGCATTTGGTCTTTGTTGCAAGTCAGATCTTTCCTCTGGCTCAGCAATCCATTTTTAGGCTGGATAATTTTGAATTGTCATATCTGAAAGACAAAAATAGCTTCATCTGCTTCCTCATCTGTTAAAGGCTCAGTCAGGCAAAGGAAGTAAGAGTTTCTTGTTCATGTTTCCAGCGTAACAGAAAATTAAATTATATTGACTGTAAATTATATTGACCAAGCTTAGCAACACTTGCTTTTAGTAATTCAAAGATTTTCTCCCTCATATTTTTTAACTCCTTAATTGAACACCTGATTACCAAATTCTGTAGACTGCTGATTTACTTGATTTAAATGTAGGAAAAATGTAGCAAGAAAACATTTTACTTTATTGTAAATAAAATTGTGGTTCTTTCAGAGTTATTTATCTAAAAAGCACGCTGGAAAGAAACCAAAGAAGTGGGAGTGCAATAGAGGCATAAGGCAGGTCAGGTAACCCATAATCCAGTCATTACCACGCCGGAGAGGAAATGAGCTGTGCATAATGGAGGTGAGGTGGGGGAAGTGCTACAGGCTGAGGAACTGCAGAAGTTGGGTGGTGTGTTTTGTTTCGATTCCTTTGGGTGGGTTTTTTTCCTCTGCTCCTAGGATGTTCATTTTGAATTCCCAAGGAATTGTTAGAACTTTGGCGACATCTAATGGATACTCTGTGAAACTCCACTATGCTTCTGGTCATCACCAAAATTTGATGTAACTGTGCCTTTGTTTCCTTTCCTTAGACTTCTTTTTTGAAACTCTTCACAGGTGTTTTTTGGTAAAAAGAATTTGACAATCATAATGTTTTAAAGTGTTAAGAGAAATTAAAAGTAGGACTAACTATAAAGTATCTATATGGCATATCTTGTTGTTGTTTTTTTTTTTTTTCCTTAATTTCACATGTAACATTGTAGTGCATGTGTGAGTTAGTAACATTATCCTCAAGTGAGACACTTTATAATGGTTCAGGGAATGCTTTTCTGTTTTGTTACGGTTTGTTTTTTCTATGAAGCAGCAGCATGTCCATGGGTATTCTGTTAACATCTACTTATTTATATGCCTGCCCGTAACGATGTAGTCTTTACATAATCGCTGTTAATGTTGAACCATTTGTTGCTCAGATTTAAACACTGTTTGAGTCTAAAAGTGGAGTATAAAAATATGTGAATTTTGTTTTTACTTGAACTGAACTATCAGTCTTTTAAGTGGGCACATCTACATTTACTTCAGCCAAAAACCTCAATCAGTGTTGTATGCACTATGAGTTTTGAATTGGGGGAGAAGGGGCAAGAACCAAAACGGCTTACTATATTTTAATTTTGTCTTAGTCCATGGTTAATTATTGTAAGATGTCATGTGTGGGGTTAATTATTATTATTATTATTATTATTTTTTACACACTGGCAATTACAACAGCTTTAATTTAAAGAAAAGTAATGGTCATCCCTGGCCACCTTTTCTCTTTTTAATTTTAGCATCAAATTAAACTGTCAAAGCTTTTGTTGCAGAACTGTTTTTTCATTTCTTTATGTGATGGTACCAGAATGATCAGATGATTGGGGAAGGGGGGGGTGGGAGGAGGGGAATGCAGGGAAACATTAAAATATATGTCTTTAAAAACAAACAAGCATTAAACTATTTATAATTTTGACAAGCTTAGTTTTATTTTTATAGGGAAGTTTTTATTCCCCTAAAAGTTGTTAATGAAATGGCAATTGATGGTTCCATTATTAAAGTTGAAGTTGGCAATACTTTGCTACGTGGTATGTTTTTATTTTTCCATTATCTGGAGTTCGTGTTGTGATGGTTGGATACTGGATGAGGCTTCTCTGTGGCACTGGGTCGTGGTTAGGAGATGTAGCTTCCATGGGACAACAGGTAAATTTAGTGTCTGTGTGTGCACATTCCCAATTGTACAGAATAACAGAAGTACATGGTTTTACTTTAAATTGCTGTAATTTGTTTTTGATAAAGAATAATACAAGCGCAACTAAACAAATATTTTTTTTTTTCCCAAATACCTCATCATGGGATGAACATGAGTGAAATGGGAACTCCCTTCTTGCTTCTCCGTGAGTAGTCAGGATGGTACCTGCACTGTGGAAATGAGGAGTGCCACACAAGTATGTAAGCCTGGCTGTGTCTTTGTGGGGTGGTGATGCGCTGTGATGCTCTTCTGGTCCCTCCTGGGCATTTATATAGGGGCAAGAAGAATAACTGTTCTCCTTTGACCTTGGTGTGAATCCAAAAGGTGAAAATCCAACTGTGTTCCTGCCTGCCCAAGATCCTCTGGCCTCATGTGTGGGAGGAGTGCGTGCAGGGAGGTTGCAGGGTAAGTGTGCATGTGCTGCACCTGCACTGGTGAAAAGGCTCACAAGGACAGAGAGCTGGTGAAGTGCTCTGGTTCTTCAAGTTGGCTGATATGAAAGTCAGGACGTATTAAAGCACTATTGGAGGTGCTGTGGTGATAAGAAATAAAAACAAATCACCATCTGACCAGCACTCATTCTTAAGTACCAGATTCGTGGAAGAGCCGCTGGATTTGCTGATGAAGTCGGTAGACTCCCTCTGCTGTTCGTGATGCCGTGGTGCTTTGGCAGGAGCATGCAAGCCCTGACCCAGCACCAGTGTGGGGAGACCTCCCATGGCTCACACGTGGCTCCAGCTGCCCTGTGCTGAACGTGGAGCTGACATGGCAGACCTTCTGGATCTGGCAGGTTCCAGCCAAACTTTGCTCCTCAGAAATTGCAAAATGCTGAGAGGAGTGGCTATGACAGGAACAAGTCCAGCAGCAGGCCTTCACACCAGTCTCACTACTGGCTCCAAATAACCTGCTACTATAATCTCTCATCAGCTAAATCATAGAATCATAGAATTACTCAGGTTGGAAGGGACCTCAAGGATCATCAAGTCCAACCACAGCCTAACCATAGTACCCTAGCTATAACAAATCTCTGCTAAATCATATCTCCACATCCAAACGGCTCTTAAACACATCCAGGGATGGTGACTCAACCACCTCCCTGGGGAGCCTATTCCAGTGTTTAACCAACCTTTCTGTAAAGAAGTGTTTCCTAATGTCCAACCTAAACCTACCTTGGCGCAACTTGAGGTCATTTCCCCTTGTCTTGTCATCTGTCACCAGTGAGAAGAGACCTAACCCGCTCTCACTGTAAGCACCTTTCAGGTACTGGAAGAGAGTAATAAGGTTTCCCTTCAGCTGCCTCATCTCCAGACTGAACAGCCCCAGCTCCCTCAGCCTCTCCTCATTGGGCTGATTCTCCAAGCCCATCACTAGCCTTGTTGCCCTTCTCTGGACCTGCTCCAGTACCTCCAGGTCCTTTTTGTACTGAGGTGCCCAAAACTGAACACAGTACTCGAGGTGAGGCCTCACCAATGCCGAGTACAGGGGCAGGATGACTTCCCTATTCCTGCGCACCACAGCATTCCTGATACAAGCCAGAATGCCACTGGCCTTCTTGGCCACCAGCAGCTACCTTCCCTCCTGCTGCTGTTGCCACTGACAGACCTTTGAGGCTGGTCAGTAGCCCCAGAGCTCCCTAGAGCAACAGGTTGGTGCTGATGAAGGTGATGGTGACAAGTGCTCCCACAGCCCCTTGTTTTATTCTCAGTTGTGTGCTGCAGGGACAGAGTGTCTGGGGGGGTGGCAGAAATTGTCACAGGCATGCAATTGTATAGGAAGACAAACTTAATAGATTCTTCAGTGATCATAGTGTGGGGCGGTGTCTCCATCTGTAACACGAGCATTAGTCTGTTCCACCCAAGTCTGGATTCCTGGATACAGCCTACTGACACTTAAGCAAAAAGTAAGATTGATGTGGGTGGTTGTGTGAATACATTGGTTCCACTAGTTGATTTTGGCTTGCTTGGGTCTCACTTGTCTGTGTTACCAACTTCTGTGGGTTTACCTGCTTACTGCACCAACAATTGTGTCAGCGTGCTGAATTCCCCAGTGCAGGGGATATAGTTGTTAAATATATTTTAAGTGTTTTCCAAGTGACTGATGTTGAATTCCCACCTGCACTCCTCAATGCCATGGCATGCTGCTGAAATTGTCCTGCTGATGTTTTAGCACAGGGAACTGTTCCAAACTTCTACCTAGCACGTCACTGGTGGGAGCTGACACGCATTCAATGTTTGCTTGGCCTTCTGTAAGTTTCTTCCCCAATTAGCATTGCCATTTTATGGTTCGAATTGTTGTTTAATCAGTCCCTCTTTCTACTCTTTCACTCTGAGTTTGACAGGATAAGTGGAAACTCCACTTAATGCCATACTTTTAAGACCATTCCTGTAGAATTAATTTATAAAAATGTATATTAAAATTGTAAGATGTGTTCTCTGACTGCCTTTTCTGGCTCTGGGTGCATTGCAAACCACCACTTGAATTCTGCTGTTGCCAGTCTGCATGCAGTGAATAGGGTGGGTGTTACCCAAAACTCCAGGCATAATGAATTCCTGTTCTTCAAAGATACGTGTCATGGGTCCGATACACTCTATTTACCATGTACCTCAAAAGACTTTCCCATCCCTAAAGTTTGCTTGTGGCTGATGTGTGACAGGACAGTCTTTCATTACAAAATCCACAAGTGGTCACAGTTGGGCTACTCGTTGCTTAGTAATTGACCAACCTCATCCTGCTGCATGCTGATACAAGTCACGTGTGTCACTGCACCCCACTCATCCACCCAACCTTTGCCTCTCAACAGCAGCTTGTAGGGAAGATACTGAGCCACAGAGGGAAGATAACAAAGCCACAATAGAACATCCCAAGTTCAAAGGACTCATAAGGATTATAACTCCTACTGCCTCAAGGGAACACTAGTGGGCAGCTGGAGCCACTTCACTTGGCTGAAGCCTGAGCAGTTGCATTGAGTCCAGGAATATTGTTAGACACCACAGCACTAAATATTACTGGTCCTTATGGACTTGGGCTTTGTGCTGAGCATGCACTGTGCATCCTACCTGTAGGGTGAAAAGTCATCAGACAAGCGTGTTGTGGGGTGTTGCTGCTGCTCACTCAACTCTTGCTCTGGTTGTGGTGAACACACATCATCACATTGTGTCCTGCAGAGGTAAGAGGTCATCCTCTGCGTCACTTGTTTGCCATTGTGCAAGTTGAAAGTAGAAGTGTTTTCAGCTGTCACAACATAGGGCAGAGAGGGACCTAGCTCAGCAGTTCACATTGAGACAGCCTTAGCAAACTCCTTCTCAAAGCTGTTTCCTTCTCATTATTTTCCCAAATTGTCTTTTTACACTTCTTTCTTTTCAGCTTTCACAAAGTGCAGTGATAGCATTTGGGATTTGTGGATGTCCCCCTGCAACAATGACTAGGAAGCCCCAGCTCAGTGGATGGGAACTTCAACCTGATCTAAAGGCCCCTTCCAACCCAAATTATTCTGATTCTGTATTTTTATATGTGAGGACTATTCCTGCAAATATGGTTTCCAAATCCAACTTCTTTTTTGGCACTGTATAAAAATTGGGTTTGGTGATATTTTTCTTGAGTGTGTTAATTCTACCACTGGCCTCTCCTGAATTTTGGAATGTTCCAGGATTCTATCAATCAGGTGAAGTGAATGAGTCTGCAGTGATGTTGCCTGAATTACGTAAATAAATGCTGCTTACAGTATGAGTAAGAGGCAGTATTATGGGTAACTGGAGTAGTTCTGTTTTGCCTTTACTACAAATAGTCACGAGACAAACCCAGCACAAAACTCTCCTGCAGTAGCTATATAAACCTTAATATAGCATCATAGCCTATATAGCATGATAGAAAATAGCAGTACAAGGCTAAGATTCCCCTCTTTAAATACAGAATCTGGTATGGGAGCAGAGATTTCAGCTGGGGCCAACGTGACCAGGGAGGCACTGCTGTGCCAGTAGAGTTGATGACAGTGATGTTCAGCCTGTTTTTTTTTCCCCAGGCAAAATTACTGCATTGAAGAGTGGCTGTGAAGTTCTCTGGTGGGATAAACAGGTGCTTTCTGTACACCAGTAATCCTGGGCAATTCTTCATGTCTAGACCTGACAGCTGATACCTCAAGCATCTCTCCTCTGCTCATAACATTCTTCCACAGCTGTGAGAAGGCAGATGCCAGACATTTCATATCTGTTTTTATGCTCTGGTGTAAGTGCCCATTGGACAAAGTTAGAATCCATATTTTTAATTAACAGCAGGACAGAAAGGTGGCACAATGCCTATGGAGTATCTTCTGAAGCCTGCTGCCTAATAATAGTGCATATTTTTAGATGTGAGCAAGGCTCGAGTGAAAGCACAGATCACACATACAGAGCATAAGATCAACTGCAGCTCAGGCTGTGGGAGTTGGAGAGCAATCAATCATAGGAACACTCCCAGAGCCAACAGACCTCACACCACAATGGAAATGGCACTGGTTTCCTATTTTTACATCTTATTTAAGAGAGAAAAGTAAGTAATATGCATCAGAAGCTTTTGGTTCAGCTTGTGCTATGTTGAGTTGAACCTGAACATCTTCCCCTGGAAATGAAAAAGATACACAGAGCTTGGAATTTAGCCTGGGACAAATTAAGGATGGCAATAACAACAAGAAAGCACCTGACATTACCACTTGGAAGTCCATGGCAGCCAGCTCAGCTCTGCCACTTCATGCCTGAGTGCCAACAGTGGGGATGGTACACACAGCAACTACAAGGCCACCTCTTCACAACACATGCATAATACAAAGCTGCCCCCCAGATCAGCAATAGAATATC